TTAGAACAAGATTGGCATTATTATTTTCATAGCCAGTCTGATAAGAGGCAATTTTACAGCAATGAGAGATGCCGAGGCACCCATGAAGTCTAATGACAAGGCTGATTTCTTGCAAAATCCTTGAGCATAATTATGTTTTAAAATTCTGAAGATGCAACAGGCAGACTTTATTCTGATGTGGCTTAGTAAAGTGTCCTTCTGTTAACTTTGGTCTGACACACACGTATGAAGGAGATTAAAAACTGAATTGGAAGAGTTTCTTGAGAAGTTATGTTTTATTTTGTTCTTGTTCTGACTTTTTGGAGGAAAAAAATGCAAAATTACTTCACTTTACATCTTACTATTCCAATGTCTTGAAACTTCGGATCAAAAATGAATAATTCTGCTTTCTATGCCATTGGTAAATTTCATGATCTGACATTCCTCATGTGTCGCAAAATCGGTATGGAAATTTTATAACTTTCACCTTTAAAACCATCAAAATTATTTACAGTTTTGATATTAATCTGGGAAAAATATGCCATATGAAACCAGAGCTTGCTTACTTTCCTTATGGAGTTCAATTCCCTGTGTCGACTTGGCTTTCCTGCAAGCACAAGGTACTCATGATAATTTATCAAAGCAGTGTTTGCCTGCAAGATTTAACAGTAATTAACAGGGCACGTTTGGCACTGCTGCACTTCTGGCAATGAAATGCACACATTATTACAGTAGGTCATAGGAATACCATTCATAGGGGTTGTAAGCTGAGAGCCTAGTTTATGCTCAGACCTGTCTTTCTCATTTCTGCATGCCATTTCAGTTACCTGTCACAGGTTCCTAACATGTTTGTGTTTGAAAACAAGTACCACAGAAAAATACTGCACAATAAAAACGGGCCCAAGAAGCAAATTTTATCCTCCCATTCATTATGTTCACAGCTACAGTATTATGAAACTGAGCATTAAGTGTTTTGTATCATAATAATAATATATCCTTTCAAAAAGATACTCTGGGGGAAAAGCAAGCATTAACATCACCCTATTTTCTACATGCAAGAATTAGCAGCACTGATCATCAGGCTCAGAAGACAATGTGTCAAGTGTGTATGCACATATGGGAATTATGCATATAGATGGATTGCAGAATAGATATATCAGCAGAAACATCTTCATAGTTTGTATTGCAGTTATGATGATGACATGGGATGACAGACCTACATTCTGAATCTGTTCTTCTGCTGCAATATGTCAAATGTGTAGCCTAAAATAGAGTGCTAATATTAATAAGAAATTGTATTGTCATATGTGATCCTGTCATCAGTGCGTACAATTCCAAATTAATAAAGAATTGTTCTTGATTAAAATCTTCATGATTAAAATCTAGGACCAGGGTGACATGCCTGGCTCCCAGTGACTCAGGCGTGCAGGTCAGTCACAACAATTTTGTGGATCTGAGCAATCCATGTTCTTGTTTGTAGCTGCATATGAGCAAGTGCATTCATATGTATCAAATAGGACTACTTTCATGCAACATTACCCATGCCCTTAATCATTTATGGTACTGAAACATAATATTCAACATTAAGAACTTCTGGGTTGAGTTTACAGTTTACTTCTACAATAGCAAAGCTTTATTTTTTTCTGTTTTAATGCAACTAACTAAATATAAGGCTTTGTTTGGGGGCTTTTAAAAATGTTTTTTAACGTTTACCCTATATACCATGTACAAATGTGCTCATGTATCTCTTCAAAATCTAAACTACTGTAGGCACTGAAAAAAAAACCAAAGTTTTGAAAGCTAGAAAACATAACTTCAACAGAAAATAAGTTTTCTTTCCAAAATCCTGTAATTTAAAAATCCAGTGGATTTTACTTTTTACTGAACTATATACAGTTGCCTCTGCACATGCTGTTAAAATTCGTTATAAACTCAACAGAACTAGAAGTCAGTATATGCAAATACTTACTAGTTTCAGTAGCAACAATAGTTATGTTGTGCCATGTATTTGTTTCTCTGTCCAGTGGTGTTGCCAGAGTTATTTTTCCATCTTCTGCATTAATGTTGAACTGCCTCTCAAGGTCAGTATGTCGATCAATGGAAAACCTACAAAATAGACATCCCTGTAATCTACTTAATGAAGCTGGTGTAATCCATACAATCACAAGACAATCTAGGGAGCCCTCTGAGAGCTGCAGTTTTATAGCCAAAATGCACCGAGAAGCTCAATAGCATAATAATTTATAAGACAAAATGACAAACTGAGACTAAAAAAACTTACAATTATTGCCTAAGGAGTAATTAGCTGTATACCCAGTATGAAGGTCATAAAATGCCCTCAGGTTCACTGGATAACATCTTTGAAAAACGGTGCTGATCAAGAGTTAATTACACAATCCATCACATTTATTAGACAGTTTCTATTGTATTTCACAGCTACTGATGATAATTTCAACAGTAATGTATTAAGCACACAAAAATGGTGGGCTTCATGGTTATTTTAAAAAGGGCTGAATAATATTATTTTACTAATAAATTTCAGATTAATGAAGCATGAACTATTCACCAAGCATGTTATTTGGTTATGGTTCAAGCAGCTCCATGGGCAGAACGCAGTTACTGAATCACCATTTTCTTATAAAACATTTCAAACCCTGAAGGAATCATTGTTTTATAAATTGACATCACTGATTTTTAACAAAACAAGTTTCATCTGACAGGCAGTTGGAGTTTGCAAATGTGAATGTCCAGGTAAATTATGCAGCCTCAACAGAGTCAGTCTGACAACAAGAAGGAGCTGCAGTAGATTGCTCCAATGGTGCATTAAGCAGGATGATGATTTAATGCTCAGAACAGGATCTCCAGGAAAGCTTTTATGTTTGTCCATTTTCACAGAGTTATTTCATTAATTCATTATTTGCATAAAGAAACTAAATCACAAAATTAAGCCTTCCAATTTTTTGACAGGAGAGGTACAAAATGAGAGTGTTTAGTGATAACCTATTGATACAGTTCAACAAAAATTGACTTCAAGGGGTTTTGCTGAATCCTAATTGTGGATTTATATAAAAACCTCTTAAGCCTTTGTGTCTATGTATTACAGAACCTAACAGCATGCACTGACAATTTTTACATCTGTTCTGCATTTTATCTAGGCATAATAGTGTGAGTTACGATACAGTATGAGACTGGATCACATTATATAGTGGTCAGAAAAGGGACTCAGACTGTCAGTTCCTCATTACATTTCTACTTTTTGCAAATATGCTGCCATATTCACTGATAAAAGAGCAAGAGTATATTTTGTTACAGTGACAATGGCACAGTTATCTGAAAATCAGTTATTCCATTCTGGTTTATGCTTTATCAAAAGCAATTTCCAGAAAAAGTTCTGATTCTGAAGTTCCTTTATATGCTACAATAAACATATTCTGATGAACTCAAACTCATTCCAGCACAACACAATTGATTTTGATAGACATAGGATTAGGATCTGATTTCAAAGCTTAGATTACGGTGTTCATCTTTTTTTATTTCAGTGTCAGATATTTTCATATTTAGAATGAAAGATACATTTAAATTAGATGGCTTCTGCAATGCATTCGGTAAGATACAATTCACGTTCAAAATTAGTTCTAAATTATGAAATTTTATCAAAATTTTAATATTTAAATGTTTATAGACTGTATTGCTAAAAATCAAAGCTAGCATAATTACACTGGTAAGGTACTTCACAACTAATGGAGTTAAGAGTGAAACCGCCTGTTTAACTAGGAATTGGGATTTCTTAGACTTAAGTTTTCTGATTTTGAACTCTGAGAAGAACTAGTTTTACTTACTTAAAAATGAGTAGTTTGGTGAAGAAGAGTACCAGGAAAAATATGAACTAAAACTCCAAATACATGTGCCTAAAGCTAGGCCCATGCATCTGTATTTGGACACTAAACTGATATGCTAGTGAGCTCCACACACTTGGTTCTCAATGGTTTAATGGGAATTGTCCTGTCCTCAACATTTCTGAAAATCAGGTAACTTGTGTGGAAGAAAAAAGCTGCAGGTACCTAATTTCAGGCAATTGTATTTGGAAATGCATGTTTGCCTTATTTTGATGTCTCCCTAGTTCCAATTAAGGTATTAAAAGTAAAATTCTGGTATTAGTGAAGTTAGTAAAAAGATATCTTACAGACTTTCACAGGTTGGAGATTTCACTCAAGAGAATACAAGAAAAGCAGCAGTCAATTTTTTTCAGGATATCATTACTTGAAACGCTTTTAATTCTTGATGGTTTGTAATTATGAAGAAAGAACTGGTATCAGACACTTATGAATTTTTTACAGTCCACAAATGAAATAAAGTATGAAATTCTTATATGTTATTTAATGTTTAGTTGACCTGGGCTTGACATAAATTCCATTGAGATTAGACACAGTTTTTCTCTAAGGATCAATCCTTTTTAAAACTTCCAGTAGAATCTTTCTGCAGTACATTATTTAAATTATAAAACTGGGAGTGTCACATCTGTGAGTTTATTATATTGCATTTCACCTCATCTCACCCCAAGAGTATTTATTCACAATGGAAAACCAGCATTCAAAATGAAATATTTTTAACATAAGATATGGGGCTTTACAAGACTACAAAGAGGCAAAACCCTCTCCTGATTTTAGTTTGATAAATACTGGGTACAAAAATAAAAAATTAAAACCTGCAGTGGCATAAGCCTGGGAAAACTAATAGCACATTTGCAGTTTTGTTTTCATGATAATGGTACTGTAACTCTCTTTAATGGGAATGCATCATCAGACCCATAAGCTAGCCATAAAAAATACATTTCTCTAAAAGAAAATAATACCTTGGGAAATAGCATCTTTCATAATTGCCCTTACCCAAGCACAGGTTATTGGGAAGTTTTGGTTAATTTATGGGTCTGATATGGTGATTATAGGAACAACTCCACAGTGGTTTAGCAGATGACTTAAAAGTATTCCCAATCCTGCTCCTGCACCATTGTCATTGCTGTTAGAACTTAATTTGATCTATTCTTTATTTGCACCAACGTAAATAAGAGCAGAAATCCTTTTTTTGCTGCACCTGCTGAGATTTGAATCTTAATATTGATACCTCATCAGTGGTAAATCACTACTGTTTATGAATGTCTGGCAGATTGGACATGCTACTTAGTGACAGATAAACAGCTGTACTATTAGGGATGCAGAAAATATCATATCTAGGTTTTTAAGACCTGCTGTGAATTAAGAAAATTATCAACTGCTGCCAAAGATGAAATCTCTGTCAATATGAATGGGGAAAACCTGCCACAGTGAAGCTTATCTCTCCACAGAGAAAGACACTGTAGGACAGTGATTTATAGGAGGGCAGATGCAGTGTAAGAAGAAAGATTATTATTCATGTTTTTTTCTGTGCACTTGGATCATGCTGTATCCAAGACAATTTACTGCAGGTAAATAGATCAAAGTTATAAAATAACAACAGAAACATGAAATAAGCACTACTGGAATCAATAGATTTGTATACTAATAGATAATGATCTTTCAAGCCTAATTATACTGTAAGATAGAATGTACCACCCTTACTAAATAAATGATAGTAAAGCTTTACAACTAGCTTAGCTAAATTCCCTGGGTCCCTTTCCCAGGAGAGATGTATGCGGCCTACGTGTAGTAAGATAGAGTCACTGACACATACTTTTGAAATGGCTAGGCTAGAATGAGACAAACTGTTGTCCATGCTTACAATTTTTAGCCATATTATGAAGCCTTTTCACCAGCAGACTTAAGAACAAGAAGGCCCTTACGTAACATCCACCATAGAACAGCAAGTAAAGATAAAAGAGAAATTTTGCTGCTTATTTTAAAAATACTGGGCTATGAAAGATATTATATAGTTAGACTAACCTAACAACTGATATGAGGAGATACTTCATATTCATTGGAGAAACAGATAAGCCTGATGTAAATGACAATGATTAGAAAATGGTGCTGGGTTATAACAAATAGAATCATCCCCACAATGCTGAAGACTGCTTGTGTAGTTTGAATTCCATAAGGCACTAATGTACAGTGATGATTATTAGGACATAGACTTACTCCAAATACACCTTTACTATGAATTTGATGTTGTGGTGTTTATTTTCATAATGCTTTTAGCAGGCAGTACTACACATAGCAAAATGTATTTTGGGAACACTTGCATCATACCATACAAAGGAGAAGATGTGTGCTTATCAAAATGAGATAGAAAACACTGATCTGATGAAACTGGAATAACAGATTTTGTTCAGGTTAGATCAAAAAGAGAAAATATCGCAAATCGAAGATGTAAAGTCATACGGGCATAATCATCTCTGACTTTCTGTCTTCAAACCAGGAATGGGTTTAGCCAAACAAATGCAAAACATGTTTTGACAATCGTACAACTACATGGAACAGGCTCAGCATTGTTAGTGCAGACACTAGCAGATTATTTAAAATAACTGCAAAGATACACAGTGATGATTCAACTCCATACGACCTCCTACACTGTATTTTTAATTTTCATTTCTTTCCTACTGTTTCATAAGACTATTCGTGTGGCAAGGAGCATTTTTGTGATTTTGAAAATGATCTGAACTGATAAAGCTAACATTATAAACTGAATTCTGTACAAGAATTTTCATAGAAATAAAATGACATGAGAACAGTATCGTGCAATGTACTGGAAAGCACACTTAGTATTCTGCCTATAGTTTTTTCAAAGAGAACTTTAAAGCAGCACTACCTTATAGGACTGGAGGATACGTCAGGGTCATGGGCAGTCACCTGACCAATCACAGAGTTAATAGCAGCATTTTCATGCACTTCCAGTAGGTAAGTAGGTGATGAAAAGACTGGTGGCTCATCAGCATCCTCTACTACAATCTTTACTGTTGCTGTATCCTTGAATGGTCCTCCACTGATGAAGCGAGGATCAATATGAATGTTGGTTGCTTCTACCTTCAGAGTATAGGATTTTTTGGTCTCGAAGTCCAGTGGCTGTTAAGAATGACAAAGACAAATGTTTTTCACTAATGGCCACAGAGAAAGAACAAGTGAATATAATGCTGATGGATGAAAGTTATGTGCATTTAAGCACATTCAGTGAGTTTTAATGCAATCACTTCCCACTCCCAGAAATCCAACCTGTAAATTTTCTAGGCATATATTGATGTCTGTTTATTAACCAGCCTCAGAGAAAACAAGACTTGTTTCTTGCTTTTCACAAAAAAATATACCCAAATAGTCTCTCTTATGAATCATACCATTACAATTACGTATCAGAAAAATACTACAAATTTGTTGGTGGTGACATAACTTGCATACTAATCATGCACTTGATCAGTGCTTTATTAGTTGGAGATAAGAAAAAAAAATTATACTAGCTCCACAAAGAATAAATATTTGTTTCTTCCAGAACAAGGTGAGAAATGCAAAGAACTAGCAATTACTATTTGTTGGACATGAGAGGCATTATGTGGAAAAATGTGGAGCTGATCATATAAGAAAGTACTTCAATACTACTAGGACGTCAGGTTTGCACATATATTGCACATTTCTGTTTATGGGGTAATTTAGGTAGATATCTCTCAGGAATTTCTTAAAACTATACCAATTCCTATTTCTTTTGTTTTAGTTTGTGGGTATTTTGGTTTGTTTGTGGTTTGTTTATGTTTTTTTTTTCCAGAAAGAGAACCATGAAACCAACTACTTTATTCTATTGATACACCTGCCATATCACCATTGTTTTTACTATTTTGCAGTTCCATGTTAAAAACATAAAAGGTGAAAACACAATGGGTTTAAACGAATGAAATACCAAATAAAACCCAAATCTGTGATACTTTTGAATGGTAGAATTTCTCATTGTAGGAGATTCAAGTTTGTGTCTTGAAGCACATCAGTATATTCACTATGTAATTCTCTTGTGTCTCACAATGATTCAGATTTCAAAGATGCAAATTGCCAAGCATTGGAAAGGTATTAAGATTTGCATTACAATGTCCCAGGGATAAAAAGGAAAGGACACAGAAACTCTGAATCTGCAATGCAAATACCAGCAAGAGCACAAATAGGAAACTTCAGGAAGTCTGTCAAAGCCTTCAATATGTGTACTTTCAAATTCTGTTGATTTTTTTCAGGTATGAATCAAGTTCTAATGGGATTTGCTCTTTCTCACAAATTCTAGTAAACATTAGAAAACCTTGCTTCTTTAGCAGCTCTTAAATTAGTAAGCTTTTGTAATTATGAATGGTGATATATAAATCAGCATATTCACAATTTGCCAATCATAGCTCCTGTATCATTTTTTCAATTACCTTTCATTTGCTTTACAGAAATGACAGCACCCCAATACAGTTAGTCATGCTTAATCAGAATAACATATTGAGAATTTACTCTGCATTGTCTAAAACCCATGAATTTTTGCTGGAGAAAATCTGCTGGTGAACAGTACCCACCATACATCATCTACTGTAGTAGAACCAAAATTATTATTGCTGTCAAAATGAATATATGAAACAACATTATGTTAGAGACTCAGTTATGAAATGAAGCTAAGGGAACTGGGGCAAAAGGCTAATTGCCTTAGTTTACAAAAGAGGCCACAGCATTCAATAAATAACAGTAAGGAAGATCAGGAATGTATATCATAATTTTCTCTTTAGGAAAACAGAGCTAAATTTAGATAAATATACATCACCTTATTATACGTCTACAGCACTGACCTACTCAGTGAGAAACATAGAATACAAACTTTTGACAGGCACTCCTCCTGGTGTCTTTAATAACAGATACAAGTTGAATATTAATTATCTGTACTCATTAAATTCTTTTTTTCACTGGAGTGTCATGTTTTGATGTTTTGGGATTGTGTTTTTCTCTTTTTTGTTGTTGTTTGGTTTTTTTTTTTTTCCTTTTTAAAAACAAAGATTCATTTAGAATGCTCTGTGCTACATATTTAAAACGTTCAATGCCACTGCTATAAGTTATATTCATATCCTTCCTTGGAACACAGCATGAGAATTGGCTCTCTTTTTCTTCTCCAGAAAACAATAAAAATTTAAATCTGCAAATGTTTCATTGACTTTACTAGCCAAGTTTTGTTCTAGGTATGCTGTCTCACCCCATATTTCTGTATGTAATTAGGTAGTCCTTCTGTTGTGTACATGTGAATACCTATCACCTTGCATACATCAAACTGTACAAACATAGAAAAGGTAACAGAGTTGTAGCCTTCTTTAGGGCCCAAATTTTGCACAGTACTGATCTCCCTGATAAGGCACACTGGAATCACCATTCATTGAGTAAAGAGAGTTCAACATAAGAAGAGGTGGAAGACTAAGCTGCTCACACATCAGGCAATTCATATAAAACGCTGACTTATTTTTTTTCTCTGAACAGTATTTGACCAGCTATTCAGCAAACCAAATCATAGAGAAAAGATATTTGATTAATACTCAGCCAAGATTTTATGGAATTTACACCACCAAGAAAGCAGATATTAATCTACTCTTCCCCTTTGGAACCAAGGAAGTAAAACCTGCACAATTTGACCACCTGAAAACCCAGCACTGAAAATACTCCTATGGATGTCTCCCCAGTTGTCACCTAAATGGCAATTTTGAAGGATATGGCTAATGCATCCCTTTTTTATCACTTCACTGGCTTGACACTTCACCTATAGATAAAAGAATCCTTGAAAATCCAGCATCTTATAGCAGAGTAAAGTCTGGATGGGTATTTGTTTGTACAATAAACATTTGTTTTAAACAGAGATACCATTTACCTTTCTCACTCTAATAATGCCGTCCTGAGTTTGGGCATCTGTAGTAATTTCAAATATATCCATTCCATCTCCTTCAATAATATCATAGGATGATTTAGCATTGTCTCCAATATCCAGGTCATTTGCTTTCACCCTTCCTACTGGTTCACCAACAGCAACATCTTCCATTACTGAGAAGTGATACAGACCTTACAAATAAGAGGAAAAGACTAAATATTACACCTGATTCCAGTATCTCTCCCGTGGTCTTCATTTGTTGATACTTTCCCAATGCAAACTCTTCAGATGCGCAACTGATACAAAACACATTTACACAAGTTGTTTACTGAAAGCAGCAAAATGTGTTCCTCATAATATTCCATTTACTATATGTGAATGTTCTTTTTATGACAGTAGTATCCTTCTTCCTTGCAGGGATACTTAGTGTTGGCTAACATAAATATTAAACTACTTTCAACACTGAAAGTATTCAATGTTCTCTACTACAGACACTTTTGCAGTAGAAGTTACAGTTGTATTTACAGACATGTAGTTAGAATACAATTATGAAACTTTGTTTTTGCTCTGTAGAAAATCATTCTAATACTTCAAAGATGCCTTATATAATCTCAGTTCTTTACAGTTTTTTTGACCCTTTAAATTTGATTTGGTTTGATCTGTTTAACCCATTCCACCTCCCTTTTGTGGTAAGAAACTAATTAAGAAACATTCAAGGAAACTCCCAATACTTTTGTTTTAAAGGAAACAATAACTTTTCATAGCAATCATTACTGTGTTTACTATTTGGTTATAGGGTTAGAATAAAATCCACTAGAATGTACCTATCAAATTGTCATCATTTTTCTTTTTATTTATACTTGCTTCAATCCTTCTGACATAAGAAGTGTCAAAAATCTATTTAGTACTTGTAATACACTATTTTAAATAAGCATATTATTACGAGAAAACCTTATTTTTTTTACCTCTTGGTATTTTACACTTATAATATACACAGCTAATATCTGATTTAATCAACTGCAGCACTATTTAGTAGCTAAAATAGTCAAAAGGAATACAGGGGTAGCAGATGACACCATTAAAATAGTCTTCGACAAAGGGTTCTGGACTTGTTCCTTTCTGTCCTCACAGTTCTAAGACAATGTGCAGTTTTTACTGTTATGTGCAGCTTGTAGTTTTCTAAAAATAAAATGTTCTGGAGTTGTTGCTTCAACTGTTTGTAGCCTGACTGCAGGAGTAACAGTTGTAAAAAGGAAGTAAACTGTGAGGAATTCACAAATACCTATATTAGTTGTACATACAGTTTGTCCCCAAGTGATTTTATATTTTCTATAATGTCTCTAGGCTTTCTTTTTAGAGATTATTTGGTGACCATCAAGATTCCTCAAGAATATTCATAATGGATCACAAACAATGAGCAGCCAAAGCAATCAAGTGCCTCAGGAGACTACATTATGTGTTCGTAATTTATACTGCTGTCCACATTTTGTGGGTTAAATTTCCACACACAGTTTATTGCATGTTTAAGTTGATATTTTTCTCTCAGATTTACTGAGATAGTTTACAAAACATTGTAAAAAAAAATCTATTATGACTCTTTCACACAAATTCCTGTCAAGAATTACAAACTGTCCTGTCAAGGAGTCATAGTGCAGAATTGACGAAAAATCCCCATTACACATCTTTGAAAACCCCTAGTTTTCAGCTGTGCAGAGTTCTTCTCAGTACATTCCTATGGTAAACTGCCAGGTTAAAAACTTCTGTGACTTATAAAATGCCTCTGAATTTATTTCAAAGAGATCACAGAAGTAGCGAAAGTTCATCTTTTTCATTTCTAAAACCCAGGAGGCTAACACTCTTTGAAATCAAACCATAAATATACATTTCTGTCCTGCCTGGAAACAATCAACCGATAAAACACACTGCTTTCTGAGTTCATTACAATTTATTGTGAAAGCAGCATGTACTACATCTTATGAATTTCTATTTCATTCTGGTTAGGCTCTATTGTAAGTTTGATCCTTTCTTATTTTCCTTTCCAGGCAAATGCAACCCATGCTTCAACAGTGTAAAAAAATGTTGAAGACTTGATCAGCTCTTGTATAAGGCCAGAGTCATGACTAATATCTGCAATGCTACCAGCATGCTGTTGAACACTTAGTTTTAAATGGCAGAATTTGTAATAATATCCAGCTACAATATTTACTCTGGCTCATCCTCATTAAATGCAATATATACATAATAATACAAAGTTATAGTACATGCAGGTTGCTTTTTTTTTTTTTATAATGAAGTTGCCTAATGGTCATTTACAACAGGGTGGTTGTTCCTAGATGGTAGCTTGAAGTCTGCACTGGAAAGTACCAGCTATAACGACTTCAAAGAAAGCAAATCACTCATTGTTGAAGGAAAACTAATCTACATTTTCCACAGGGAAAATATATTTCAGCGATATGTGATGCAGTCTACCTCTTGCTACCCAGTGTGTCACTGTATCCAAATTACAGGAGAATGGACATGAATAAACTGCACAGGGAAAGTACAGTTTCCTCTCTGTATGCATTCATTCCTGTGATTCCTG